GTTCATCATGTCTTCGTGCATACTTTGAGGTAACCTCGTAATAACCTCATATTATTCATCTTGCATCGAAAGAGGAAAGATACTGACATGAACAATATCAGTGTATATTTTCCTATCACAGAATGCCAACTATAACATGTTGTAATTGAAACTATTGCGCAATGTATCCATATATATATTATCAAAGCATTCGGACTTGAGGTATTTAACAAGACTTCAAAAATATTACTTTTTTTCCCAAAATGACAAAACAATTAATTAAAATTAGATAATTAAAGATATCATCGCGAAATGAACAAATCTAAGAGAGGTCTTCCCAAGGTAGATACTTATACACCAAGTATCAAAGCAATAGTAATAGGAATTGTAGTTTTCAGAAAGAAGTCGAAAATGTAAAAAGTTGACACTGACGACGGAGGATGACTGGCAATCACTTATATGATTGGCTCCGCTCGACACAGTCACAATTGTTTACTTAGTCTATTACTAATATCGAAAATGAGATAATTACGGAATTGCGTAAAGTAAACAAGACTGCATGAATTCTAATAATGTAGAGCGGCAGCTAAGTTGACATATAGTGGGAATTGTAATTACTGGTAGTCAGTGTTGCCACATATTCTCGTTTCTCTTGATAGTACGTATTTTGCACCACGGTTTCAATATAATTACGTTCATAAGCAAAATTGTGTGTATTTCCTTTATCCTTTAGCGCCCATAAAACTGGGGAAAATATAGATAAAATACGCGAACCTCACCAGACTCTAATCTAGAAGGTTTTGCGTGGATCACCAGAAATGCTCATCACTAGCATATAGCTTCATAGTGATACTTGAGTCATGACTTTTCACATTGAACATAACATGGGACAAAACAACATGCAAAAACAACGAGACAGATGGAAATAATATGTAAAAAATACTTTTATTTTTCGAAGAATATATTTATCAATAAATGTGATCTGTACCGAATGCTTTTTATGTGCAGTCTACTTTGCTAAGAACACTCGTTGGTAACTCAACATAGCCAATACTAGCCAGCCCCCACCCCACCCCCATGATTATTGCAGTTCATCCGAACGAAACTAAAATGTTGGTCCTGCTACATTATACCGGTACCGCTAGACTACCTGATGTAATTATTCCGGGTTATCAGTAATTTTGTTAAAGGGGCACGAGAAGGTGGCCAAATTTAATATGCTAATTCGACCCAAGCTAGCATCGGGGAGGGGTGCTCCCGAAATGATTGACTAATCATTGGTGACGTTAGCATAACAAAAGAAAAAAAATAGACTGCTTGCGATCTCTCGGTTTGTTCCTGTTTTCAGTAATATTTCAGTATTAAAAAATAAGTATGTCGAGATTGTTAGGCACGAGTTATTGCTAGACGAAAATAAATAAGCTTGTCGCATCATGCATGTGCTAACAGTTATTGATATAAAAATAATAAGCGCAAATTATCGTATTCACCATTTATTAGTTAATGGAAATAAATCGGTTTGTATCCTGTCGATGTGTTAGGGCGACAGGTTGAGTGTACTGAGAGTAATATAAAATATTGCTGAAAAGTGTGTAGTTACTTGGTGACTGTAATGATGATCATCGAACGACCCGCTGCTGACATCAACGAACGAGTACTCTCACCATGCATCAGTCGGATATCTATCGGCCTCTTATCGATTTGCACGACATGGTTTGAGTCTATGTCACCTCTATCTTTGTACATCTTATTTGATATAGTTAAGTATCTTTGTACGTGCTGTTCGTGCACCAATGACACATTTGCCTTCATGCAATAAACTATATACAAAGTCATGCAGCATCCCATCCAATTGGACACATATTCCACTAATCACGTGGAATTCATTATAGAATGTCATCACCAACGTTTCTTTGTTTTTTCAATCCCTAGTTTTCTCAATATATATGTAAATCGCGATAATGCAGCCTCATAAAACATGTATTCATATTTCATCCTGTCGCGTAGTATTGTTCTTACGTGACTAGAGGGCGGGATTTTGTTTTTCGACGATGTGTCATTTGTCTTGGCGGACGTTTCTACGGGAAAGAAAGAAAATGCACCTGTAAATGTAAATTAGGGGTAAAATGCGACTTAGTCGGTGTTGTATGAAATTAAAAAACAAGTAAAAAAACAGCGTTGAACGGTCTCTCGGATATAACCATACAACAGTTCCGCTGCAAATCTGACTCGCCATGTGTTTTTTTCCTGAAAATATAAAGTACATTTACGACAGTGTGATCTCGTTCTTGCGTACATTTTCTGATGGAAATATTAAATGTCCTGTATTGCAAAATATTTAATGCATAAATAATGATTACAGTTTGTTTTTTTTAAATCTCAATATTTGTTGTTGTTAATTACAATATATTTGTTGTCCACGTTAAAAGGTAATAGATATTGACAATGCACAGTCTCGTGTTTTTAGCGGTCTTATTTCTGTGTTCAGTGAAAGTCACATGTGCAAAAGGGTTCATGCATGTGTATATAAATTTCAGTACGACTGAAATAGACGGGCGAAATGTATACAATTTAGTTAAACAGTGAAAATGGCATTTTTTTACTAAACATAACAAAAACATTAAAAGATTAAAGAAGACTACCAATGACCATCGGCTATTTTTGTTCTCTAATATTTTAGCCGGTTGACCATTTTTTTCCAATCTTGAAAAAATACGACATGCGCCTGGAACAAATTTTGAATACAATCGTCTTGTTCATGTCCGAGATACAGTTCCGTTTACAGACTGTGATTTTAAAATTTTAGACAAAGTGACTACCAAATCAACAAATTTTATCTAATCACAATATACCACAACCTACTGTATTATTTATGGGTATGTGTAAAAACGTTCAACAGAATAAGACGATATATTAGTGAGGAGTCGGCATAGACATGAAGAAAAACAAAACGGCCGGCAACCGCCCATTTTTGTTCGAATCTCGAAAAAAATATGACGTATATCTGTAACCCAATATAAATAATCTTGTTACAAAGTTTGAATGCAATCGCTCTGTTTATTTCCGGGAAACGGCTCTGGACAATTTGAGTGTCATAATTTAGCAAAACTGGGGGCCAAAATGGCCACATTTGATCTAATGGTATTTAAAATCCGCGAAATGAATCTGTACAAACAAACACACACACACACACGGACGGAATTAACAATGAGATAAAGGATTGCCTTTAAATAACTTACCTGGATGTAAGAGAATCTCAACAGCGCCTCCAAAGATATCTGGCAATAGCTGTTCAAGAACTTGCATAGTTTCATCAATTTTTTCTATGAAGCCTACGACCAAGAACCGCTTATCTAAATTTGACAGTGCTCTATCCAAGGCTAGCTGGGACGGTGTCCTGGAAACATAAATGTTCATACCATCTGTGCATTAGTTAAGCTCATTAGAATATGTTTAAAAAAACATTTCGATCATCAAAACTGTTTCATTCGCTTGTGTCAGGATAAATCTACCGACAAGCTTATTTGTATTATTATTAAAGCGCGGTAGTCGTCGCGCTGCGCATGTGCAAGATATATGGGTCTCATATAAACAAATATGGCGACTTTGACTGTTGTGCAGATCAACGAGTACGAATTGAGACGTTTCCAAGCTTTAATTAAGTAATTTTCATGTTATTGGAAGGTATCGAAGAAGTCACCGGCGGTAATCAGTGCAAGTCGCGCCCAGGTCAAATCTCACACTTGTGATTTCCATTTGAAGAGCGCATTGAATTGTGGGAAAATCAATGTTTATCAACACACATGTGGCACATGCGCAGCGCGACGACTACCGCGCTTGAAGTTACGTTACTTACGAGCAATAAGGATGCTGACCACAAAAGAAAGGTATCATATAAAACAATTTCTTATCGCTACATTCTTCTTTGTTCAACAAAACGCATTCGTCCACGGTCTAGGTGAAATTAACAATAAAATGTGTTGTAGCGCAAATGTAAGACGAAAAATGAGTGAATTACTGTCAAATTTACCTGGAATCTATGCATTTTTTCGAAGTGTCTCTGTGCTAATAACTGCTCAGTTACGTGGGCCAATTTATTAGCAATACCGGTATTATTAAAATTAAATGTTATGCAAAAATAATTTCTGAATGAGTAAATACATTTCCCATTGTCTGGGGATATTGCTTTTGGGAATAGGTGTTCAGATTAATAAAATACCTTGAAGGGGCACTTCCAGTTAAGCCTAATCTCACAGCAAATTTACTTTCCGGATTAAAATAACAATGGATAACAAAAAATAGATTAACGTTGTAAACAACATAAACAATAGTGTCCCATGACTCTTTGGTGCAATCCATTGGTTCCCCTTTAACGATTTTCAACCGCTTTCGAATGATCGATGTTTTGAGGTTGTATGAACAATAATATACATTTGGTTACATACATAACGCATACCAGTTTTGTTAATCATTCATATAACGTATCCTGATCTTTTTTAAGTTTCAAGATTATCAATTACATATGTTAGAATAGTGTATTATATACAACGAAATAAGCTACACAATTACCTCGTTTACACGACAGCATTTTAATGGAGCCAGCAAAAATCGCCGTGTAAGCGCGCTCGGCTCAGACAAATCTCGAGGCTGAGCTCAGATAGGACCGGGACTGGGCCCGGCCATGTGAACGAATAGGGCCGAAATCACGCCCTCTATTGCCTTCTTAATGTGGCATTTCATTTCCTGACTCAACAAAGTGTCCGCGGTCTGATAACAATTTAAGAGGATGAAAAAGTACTGCGACAGATTAACAGATCGACTAGAAATAGGAGATCAGTATACGAAATTATTCAACTAAAACAAGTGAGCAGATTCAAAACTCTTCAAAGACACTGACTGAAGATAGATATCAAAAAAGTCAAGGTACCCTTTTTCAAGGGTGTGGCTGGGTTACAGGCACGCAATAAATCCGCCACCAAGCTTGAAATTTGGACATTTCACGAATACTAAACGATGAAGATCTTATCCGAATCTTAATACTAGTATCGCTATACAACGACGGGGTGCAAAGCATTAAATAACACAGTGAAATGAGACCACAGACTCAACGTTGTATCGCGATGGTTTAGCATTACAATCAGTCAACACAAGGGACTCAATCCCCTGTTAATTGCCGGGAAGAAGCAATAGTTCACCTCCGATAGTTGCTGCCGTGTAAAACTAACAATTTACCTATTCTAACTACAATACAGAACATGTGCGATATAAAATATAATATTCGGTCAACTCGCCATATTCTTGCTAGGGAAAGATTTCTTCATGTATTTCTGGTTATCCGCATCACCAAATCTTTTGTAATAATATCCTGATACAAAGCGATTGATTGGGTCACGAATAATATTAATATAAACTGGTTGTATTGCTCCAAATCTGGAATAAAAGTAAAACAATTGTTAATTCATACAACATTTCGCGGCTTAGGAATGCTTCTTCACAATCTGAGATTGGGTGCCTTGAACTAGCACCCTCGTAGAGGGCGCAATGATACACACCATTATCAGTACAGTGCAGAATGTATACTGTAGCGCGTCTTTCTTAGATGTACGGGCGACCTACATCATACGTGATATCGCATATGAAGAGGGGAAGTACTCGCTCACAACGTTAGGTTGTGGGTCACTATTTACTGGATTGTGTCCAGTATACTAGAATTTCAAACAGTATATTCCTAAAACAAGCAGCCTCTCGGCTGAGATAGCTCCGCTGTTAGCAAGGCACATTTCAATTAAAGAACTGAAGATATCATTAGAAAATGAACAATATGTATAAGTATGTATAGCAATTGGACTTGCTGTTTTCAACAATAATTCAAAAATAACACTTTTTACCAAAAATTACAAAAATATTCACCAAAATTAGGGAATTGAGGATATCATCACGAAATGAACAAATCTCAGAAAGGTTCACATGTAGCATCTATATATGTAATATCAAAGCAATTGGACTTGCGGTTTTTAACAAGTCAAAAATATCACTATTTACCAAAAATGACAAAAATATTCACCAAAATTAGAGAATCAAAGATATCATCATGAAATGAACACATCTGAGAGAGGTTTACCCAAGGTACATATACACCAAGTATCAAAGCATTCAGGCTTGTAGTTTTCAAGAAGAAGTCGAAAAAGTAAAACATTGACACGGACGACGGACAATCACTCATGTGATAAGCTCCGCTCGACAAAGTCGACAGCGGAGCTAAAAATCTAGGTTATTCCTTGATATTTGCAAATTTCCCTTTGAATAAAATGCGCTATATCCAACAAAACGTACATCATACCCTCTCTACACTCATAGAAATGGTCAATTTGTCAAATTGTACACTTACTTGGGGAAATCGATATAATGAAAATGCCGTTGGTAAACATACGGTGGTTTCAATGAAGAAACTGTGTTAACTATATCAATCTGGAATATAAAAAAAAAAGAATGTATTGAAACAAATAATGTAAACCCCTAGCAAAATTATGAATGCACGCGATCGGATCTGAAAACATTCTAAAAGACGCGATCAAGCCTAATTGACATGCATACGTTTTTTTTAGCGTAATATTATTCGCGATAACGTGGTATTGTGAAAAGCAGATGTCGGGAACAGACATGATGTCTACGTTACGATTACGTAACAACCCGGATACCAAGTTGAATAGCTAGATCAAATAAAAAGCTAAACTGTCGCCTGACATCTGGATCATGTTTGACTTTAATTACTACATCCTGTGTACTGTATATTTAATAGCTTAGTGTCTTTCTGAATAAACCAGTTGTGTGTTAACCATCATACTGTAAGCATCATCTTGTACCAACTATCCCTATACTCGCCCACAGCAGACTATTGATATATTTTCGAGTGCATAGTGATTGTGGATGTATATCACTAGTATGATATAATTTTAGGTGTACATGAATCAGGGAAATTCCTTGTAACTATTGATGACATGGTGTTCCCACCCACAGTTTGTGCCAACACATTCGGAGACTTGTGACAGATACATACACACATAAGGGATACTTTACATGCTTTAGATACTTTACATTTCATCCATATAGCATTTGAAACATACCTAAAACTTTGCGTTCTGCGAGATGTTGAATTGTTCAAGTTACGGATACTGAGTTACAAGCATCGAGTTTCGTAACCACGCCCACTTTTGCGAAACCACGCCCAAATTGCAACTCGATGTTCAATTAAAAGTTAGTTAACCAAACTTCTAGTTACGGGCAGCATAGGTTTTTTTTGTTTTATGTTGTGTGTATCCCGTAGTTCGAAGTTACTCCCGTAAAAATTCCGCATCTCAAGTTTTGTTTGTCATTTTTGTGGGATTGTGTAAAGCTTTAATTCACTCTCACAGAGAAACATTTACAAAAAATGCGCTGATTATCGCCCATATTATATCCACTATTAGACATCTGTCAAAATGTGAAAAACAACATTTATATTAGAGACATTTCCTTCCGACAAAGCTCCGTGAGCAAACGTCAGTTCCACTTCAAGCACTGTTTTCACCCTTACTCACAATGAGATGACAAACTGAATCACTGAAAATCCGCAAAACTCTGCACGCTGTTTTGCGTACTGCTAGGTCAAACCATGGATGTACATCCATGGTCAAACATATTGTTAGTAATTCAAACAAAGTAGTTCGTACCCAAACTTAGGTACGTCTCACTCGCGAATTGAAACGGGTTAATCATCACCCAGCCCTACCCGTATTATTACAGTGTTCATAACCGGAAGCTGATATGACCGCTCACCTATCTACCGGAAGCGTGAATAATTCCTTACCTGTTCTTTCAACGAAACATGCGTTCTATTGTAAACATTTGAAGAATATAACGTGAAACCATTGCGTGTAGACAGCTTGTTTAACACAGCAATAACTGTACGGCTCCCACATTTACCAACACGATTATACACCACCCGACTTTGGGGGCTCTGCATATACAAAACATAAAAAATATCAAAATTAGAACCCGTTATTGCTAGATTGAACTGCGCAAAGTCGTTAAAGCGCGGTGGTCGTTGCGCAGCGCGTGTTCGAATTTCATGTAAATAAACAATGTATTTTACACGCGTTGTATACGTCGCTATGAGTCCCATATCGAACAGAACGTGGCACGACGACTGCCGCCCTTTAAATATTTATTAATGTAATTTGAGAGTACGCACGTCCCATTTGATCCAGTTCTAGATCTGTTACGGTCAGCGATCAACTGTGGTAATGTTATTGAATAAAAGGTTTGAACCTAAGCCTAACCAATGGCTGGAGCGATTGGCTGATCACGTGATTCCCAGAAATATGTCTCAGGGTTGAAGCACTGCGAAATTGCCACTACTGAATACAAGTAGCATGTATGTTTATATTGTCTAATTTATGCATGCAAGTTGTTGATCCTAAATAATAATGCAACATCGTGTGAACCAAACATGCGTATGTATTGTCAGTATGCTAACACTAACATTAATTGTAACTTCTTCTTTCATCAACTATATTTTGAGAGTGCACATGTTATTTACGCTATATAGCAATACACACCCATTGCCGCTGGTGACTAAATGTTAGAACAGGAGGTTTTTAAGAATGGGTACTGCGTTATCGCTTTTGGACGAGTATGCTGCAGAAGGTATGTTGAACAGCGCCACTGCAGGTTTTTTTTTCTCAATTTGACAAAACATAAAATGCCGGTGGCGGCGCTGTTCACTTTCAATGCGCCATCTCAATCGTAACTTGGGGGCTTTCTCTATTTATACTGTGCGTCTCAAACATACACTTTTGCCTGACGCCCTGACTATGTTCATATACTTACTAAGTTCATTCCTAAAGATTTACTGGAGCCTTGGCCCTATGTGAAATATGTGATGGCATATGCGGAAACGCGAGACAAGTTTGAAGATTTACCTTGAGGAATTCCGAACCTATGCAAAATCTTCTACGCCAGAATACTATTCAAAAACATGAGCAAATAGAACTCGAACGCAATGAGAGGAAGAAATGATAGCCAACATTCAGACGCACAGGAAACTGCTGAATGTTTATCATATGTTTCCACGATTCGTGCATATTAGGATCGTCAAATACGTTACATATTAGTAAGATATCAAATAGAAATTATGCAACTTATTGGTATATTGCCAGAACAAAACACACGACATGTCTGTTGTTATCCATTACGATACATTAGTTATCACACATCATACAACGCGCAAACTATATTAATCTTGTCGGGGATATGATTATTGTATCAGAACTTTAATAATTTCTTTTTTTTAGTTTTCTCCATACAGATTATCTTGTCAAAGCATTACCCAGCTTAGATTTGTGTTGTTTTCCTTATCTTACGTGAATATTATATTTTTTTTAAATAAACATCCGGATTATGACTAAACCGCCCACAAGCCTCGAATATACACATATTAGAATATACACGTAAAGTTTGTATACAAATTCATTATTCACTCACCAGTTGCAATTGCTGATTAGGCTCATTCGTATGGGTGGCAGACTCGTATGACTTTTCTTCGGAGTCAGAGTCGAACTCCACCCCATCCTCTGTCTGAGCTAAACTTAGCCATGGTGGGGAATCTGAAACAAGGAGGTTCATAGGCATGTTTACAAAATATAATTCGATTATATTACTCACACAGAGCATGGAACCAAAATAAAATCTGGTCACGTCATTTGTGCGATCTGGGTCATCTGTATTTTTCCATACTCGTGTATATTGATCTGATAACATATACGCACTCGTATACTCTTGTAGTAGAATAATAAATCGACTCAGACTAAGATGACTCAGAGACATTGAGCTTCACATGTTGTACGCTTTATTGCTAACGGTCATAGAGACGCACATTGTTTCCCACAAAGTATTTCGGACAGATACTAGTAGTCCAATATAAAGCCTCATTTTGTATGATAATTATATGCATATGCGTTGCCATGTTTAGTTTAACGGCTGTAAACTAACCTGGTCATTCTACATTATCGTAATATAGAAGTATATAATATTTGTATGCTTCATGGATGCAACAATCCACCTGTTTTTTGTTTTGTTTTTAATTTTGAAGTCATTACTCACGTTGATGTAGACTATATGTGTACATTAAAAGGCGAAGGCCGGATTGCCACAAAAGGGCGTCTCAATCATTGCGACCATGTACTAAACCCCCAGACCGGTGGCAATCATCACAGGTGTTGCAAGATGGCGGATACAAGGGACGTAAGTCTCTGTTTGTTTCTCCGTTTATACGCTCACAGAATATTATATTTGATTGAAAAATACAACTCAGCAAAAGGTATCAGACAGCAAAAGAAAAGTATATAAAACTTAGTATATTGCCAAACACACTTATATACTATTAGTATTTGTGTACACGTTTTTTAGACTTAGGGAAGAAAAATGCAACGTGGCGTGGGTCTTGTGATCAGCAGCACATAGTCCAGCACAGTAGTACAGTGCCGTTCTATTCACAGCGAACAAAATATACAGTATGTCAGCGATATTTGGAAATGCTTTTTTTTGTGCAATGCCTCATTTAAAGGTTGATATTTGATACGGCTAATTCCGTGAAAAAAAATCCATGAGTATTTAGTTTCCTGTTGGAATAAAAGAAGGAAAACAGGCCATTGTCGATACTACATGCATGGAGGTATCTCTTTTTACCTCCATGCAACATGTAGTATCCCATTACACATAACTACCGGCATTGTACAGTGTGTATTCGTTGTCAAAGTCAGACTTGCTTGTGTAAACTATCACGTCCATAGAAGCCGGGGAATGGTGATATGAAAGCGAGGCGTTTCAAACAAGGTAGCTTTCACACCAAAATATTTATATCCTAAACAATGAGTTACTAAGAAAAGAGGGTATATAGAATTTATTATCGAGAAGAGAATAATTTCCCGTTGGACGTAGTTTAACAATTCGGAATAGTGTAACGTTAGGATGTCATCCCATACGTGGGTGATATAAGCCATCCAAGTTTGTAGTTGTCATGGCGCCCGAGGGCATTAGTGACAACTTATTGCGCCTGGAATGCGTCGTCCTGGGGAGAGTGCAGTCACGTGATCACACTTTGCGAAGTTGGGAGACGAAAAGCTGAATCTTAGCATAGGGTGCGTTGGTGGGCGGACGTTTCGAATTTAGGGAAAATGGCAGTTGGAATGACCTAGGCGGTACACTATCATGTTACAAGACATAATGCTACAAATAGAAACAAGAACTTTTTTTCTTTCAGGAATCGTGTAACAGATGTAGTACATTATTTACTAAACAAATATCCGACACCGAGATATTTTGGGGCACATTTAAAAGCTTTATCAAGGCTGACTCGACACGAACTTTACGGTCACAACAATTGTTGGTCACAAGTATTTACTAGTATATATGTTCTAGTATCGTATTTACTCTCAACTCGTACATTACAAACACGGTGTATTTATAATCATTTGCATACTAGTAACTCGCGCGTTACAAGTAAATACATATATAGTGAGCGGTACTTGTAACGTAGAAGTTATTATTATTATTATTATTATTATTATTATTATTATTATTATTATTATTATTATTATTTAAATAAATATAAATACGCCATGTTTGTAATGTACAATTTATGAGGAAATACAAATAAGCAGTACTTGTAATTAAATATTAGCGAATAAATGTATGAATAGACAGGGATTGTAACCAATGATTTTAAAAGACCGCGGTGATATCGGATCAGTCTTGATAACGTGATTAAAAGCGCTAAAAAAGAGCACCAATTTCCATTGCGCCATTATTATGTGTGCCATTTTTACCGTGTACCGCGCATTTTGAATCTATTATCAACAAATATATTTACTATTGTTGTGTAACGCTTGTTCTTTCAGGTCATGGACCTTAAACACACAAATGCACAGATAATGCACAGAAGTAATACACAGTTTAAAAATACAAATAAATGAAATAAAGAAAAATAACCCAAGGATGAAACCTACATTCGGAGTTACTTATTTTCAAACGAATATTTCACAATAAAGATGACATTTGACAATACATGTTATTATCATTTTTTTATTAACGACAACGGAACGATAATTATATACACGATACACAAAGACTGGAAATCGAGTCTAGCCTTTTTCCTGCGTGGTGTTGTACGTTTCAAAGTGGTGCCTTCGGAACATATGAATTAATCACCAATTGTGTTTAGTCGTGTCAGCATTACTGTTCTGTTCTGACCCCAGACAACTAGACCCCTGTATACGTGACGGTGTTAACCCGTGTCGGCACCAATAAAATAGTGTAATTATATAACGACCGGTGGATTGTTTGAGGAAGTTAATTATCTGGCTTTCATTGATAGGATAAAGGTCAAGGTGATTACATCAAATACCATGGCGATATCTATTTACACTGCCTTGTTTTGAGTACGTTGTGTATTCCATGTTTTAAGTTAAGTTAAATACGATAGCGAGTGGTATGTGTTTATAATCTGGTCTGGAAACCGACAATACCGCTCAGTGCCCACAAGGACGTAGTACTGTTATGTAGACCATGCAGTCAGCTAGCGGCATTTAGAGCACGCATCTGTCATGCCGGACATCAGATTGGTGACCATTTGTGAACCGCCGTCCAGACGTGTGACTGCTCTTCAGCTGCATTGTCCAAACGGAACTGCTACGATTAACAGGGAGACCCACCTTTACACGGTGAAACATTGTGAATTGGTAAACAAGGTTGACGTTGTATAAAGTTACCAAGATTAAGTTTCGTGTACCTACCATTCAGCTCTGATTTACTCGATGCGTGGATCGGTTCGTATTTCGTCACTTTTTGGATCGTCTCGCTTCCGGTGAAAACCATTAACACAACAAGTGCACATGCCAGGGCCACTCCGCCGATTGTTGGTCGTAAATATTGTTGAAATTTAGACATTTTAAACCAGCGGTTTGATCCTCAAATGTCCGCCATGGTTGCGATCACAGAAACTTTACTAGTGCGGAAGGCCGTGTGTACGTATCAGTCGGTTTCCTTAGACTTCACCATTACAATACGGGGTGGCCATTATGCATAACCGATGTTGACGATTTTTGCATCAATTCACCCAATTCACTGCCAAGTGCAACTCATTAAAAAAACACGTGTTATTCAAAGTTATTTACATTGAACGATTTCGGGTTTTCAAATTCATTATTTTAAGATTATTTTAGTAATCCCAGCATCACTGCTATATAGTTATTATATTATGGTTTGACCCAACACCAATTATGCAAATACTGAACGAATACCAAGTGGAATGTGAATCAGATGCTGATCGACCCCGGAAACAACCTTATTTGAATACAGTGCCTTATAGTCTCTGTACGCGGGAGTATAAACCACAGTCCATAGAGGGACAGAGATACAGTGTATAAGCATGGAAGGTACTTCCATGGTATAAGACACCATAGTATAATTCATGGTACCAGGTCCTTTGACCTACACACACCGTCTATACCCAATCTGATTAAAATCTGATGTAGTGTACGGGCTTTAATTATTGTGGCTATAAACTTATTTTAATTTATTTTTGTATTACTTTTGTTATTAATGCCCTTTTATTTTATTATTTTACTTTGATTTTGATTTTGGTGATTTTTTTTT